TACGGATGGTAGAACAGAAAGTGAGAAAGACACGGTGTCTTCGTGGAAGTGGCGGGTATTATTGCAGGGAGAAATACGCCCTTAGCTCTTTGTGCATCTGGTTTTCAAATGTGTGCTTTTGTGCTTAAAAAGTATTGCTGACTAATTAGGAAAATAACTGACACAAATCAATCAATTAATAAAATAATGATAGGCAAAGAACCTTACAGTTGTAAATGTTATGCAGAAAATTTAAAAGATTGGGGCAGAAAATGACAGGTAGGTCGTATTATAATAAGAGCCTGGGAGACCTTAATGGGGAGGTGTCTCTGGAACTGCAGTCAGGACTGAAAGAAGGAACAAGTCCCAGGAGCTGTGCAGGGAACGGCGGAGTCGGGCTGCTGTGGGAAGGGTCTGGTAGGTGTGAGGGTCTGGATGGGTCTGAAAGGATGGTGGCAGACCTGAAAGGGGTCCTGGATTCAAGCCAGTTTAGGCTCACTGTGCTATTTTAATAAGTGAGTAATTTGTGGGCAAGGGTCTTGAGTAGTCGTGTGCGGTGGGGTAAATTTCCAGGTAATTAATCGGGTTCTTTGGTGGCTGCTTAGCACATACAGGGGCCTCCAGGATGCTGCTGCTGGGCCAGAAACAGGGGAGACTCAGGTGGGTTCAGCCGAGCCCAGTGGCCCCTTCCTAGTTCACTTGGGACTGAAGACACTCAGGGGAGTGGTTCCTGGTCTCTCTCCTCCACCCAGAGCCCATGATACAGCCCTATGGGGTGCTACACTACTGTATTGTCTGTACCTCTGGTCCTGGGCCAGCTGCCTGGGGCCCCCTGTGGGTGACCAGCACTTCTTACCCTGAAATTCTACAGATTTAGGACCTTAGAGCACAGAATCTGCAAAATGCACTTGAGAGGGAAGAGAATGGGCTGACAATCCCAAGGTCACTTGTGATGGAGAGAAAAAAGGAAGACCAACATTCTGAGGCATGCGGCTTAAATGAATGGTTTAATGGCTGTTAGAAGACTCCTTTACTACACCAGTGAGGTGCAAGGACATGTAAATGTGGGGCTATATCTTCCAGGAGGGGTATATTTTGCCATTCAGTGGCTAATATGTGGTGCTGTTCCTCCCACAGCCACAATTCGTGGTCCAGGAATCAGGGAGTGAGTTGAAGTGGCTCCTCCATCCATTAATGTTCTTAGTGACCTGCTAACAAAAATTTACGTCATCTCCCTTGAGCTTCTGCTCGGCAGGACTAGAGGTCTTAGGTGTTCTGCCAGACCCCAGTTCACTCCTGACTTCCTGAATGGAGGGCTGGAGGGAAGGACAGCCTGGGGCCAGATCCAGGTGAGCTGGGCTAGACCTGTTCATGGCTTTGTTCACAGTCTTCCTGGGGCTGGAAGAAAAGGAAGACAGAGTTTGAGAAGGGGTTTGTGTCTGTCTCACTTCCCATCTGCCTGGGTCAATGTGGATTGAGTACTAACTGCTGTCACTCAGTTGACAGTAATAGCCTCATCTTCAGCCTGGGCCCCACTGATGGTCAGGGTGGCTGTGTTTGCGGATCTGAACTAGACCCCAGTAATCACTAAGAGACCCCGAGGGCTGCGAGTGATCTGTCTGTATCACCAGCACAATGATCTGGCCTGGCTTTAGCTGGTACCAATGAGCATAATTTTCCCCACCGTATTTCCACAACTGGCGATCCTGGCCATCTGACTCAGGGACAGTGACAGCGGTGACCACTGTCAGCTCATAGGAGGCCATGGAACCTGCAAAAGAGGGGAGGAGAGAGGACTTGAAGATGAAGAACCTATTCCCAGAGTATCTCTCCCTGAGGCTGTGCCTGAGCGGAGCTCAGGGCTCTGGGCAGTCTCAGCTCAGTTGGAGCTGAGTCTAGGGCAGGGCGCAGCGGCAGCACCTGTGCAGAGAGTGAGGAGGGGAGCAGAAGAGGTGTCTAGGCCCTGGTGAGATACCTAGAGCTCTGGCTCCAGAGCCCACAGCACAGCTGCGCTTTACAGGTCTGTTGTATCCTCTCTCAGGCCCTTTGGGGCAGTGAGTGTTTGCTGTTTATGCAAATATACATCCTCTGGGATTCCTTATTGAGGGATGTCACTCAAAGCAGCTGTGGCGCAGCACAGGAACGAAGGAGGAAGGGGTGGGTCCCCCAGCTTCCTCCATCTGCTTCTCTGGTCAGAAAATCATCTTGAACTTCCAAGGCCTCTGGTCACAGTCACCATCCCAGGGTATGGCCACATTGCCACTGTCCCAAACTTCTCTGGCCTGTGGTCTGTCCTGGACAGACCAAAATTACCAAAAATATGACTGACAGAGTGGCATCACTACCAACCTTATCAAAGTATGGTTATAGGCAATAGTATAGGCAATCAATGCCAAAAGCATAGATGACTCAAATGAAGTGGACAGATGCCTGGACAGACAGAAATTCTCAAAACTCACTCCTTAGTAGGAAATCTGAACAGATCTATGACACATAAAGATTCTGAGTTAACAGTTAAATCCTCCTGCTAAAAAAGCTCACCCAGTTCCAAGTGGCTTCACTGGCAAACACTATCAAATTTTTATGGAAGTAAAGATACCAATCCCACTTGAGCTCCCTCAGAAGATACACGAGGAGGGAACATTTTCCTACTTCTCTTTGAGGCCTGCTTTACTCTGATACCAAAGCCAGACAACCACATGACAGAAAAACTACAGACCTATGTCCACCGTGAACGTGGACATCCTCAGGCAGGAAGTGTCACTATGCATGTGAGGCCATGTGGCTTCCATTCTCTCATTCTCTTTTTTCTTTCTTCTCGAGGGTCTCCCTTATTCACTTTGATTTCACATTTGAGAGCCTCACTTTTCTTCAGTTCTGGCACCAGGACCTAGGTCTTAGAGGCTGTAGAGAAAGGAGAGTTGGGAAATGTGACACATATATGTCTTAACTGGTTCAGAGTTTGCTGTGAATTCGTCGTCCGGCTTTGTGGAGCACACTGTGGGTAGGGGTGTGCGTGTCTTTAGGGGGAGGATTGTCTTTGATGTTTACGTGGATTTTTGTGATTTTAAAATTTAAAGTGGGTGTTTTTCTAGGCAGCATGTGTATAGTTGAGTCTTGCCGTTAATTTCAATCTGAGAACATCTGACTTATGGTTGTTGTATTTAGACCATTTACAGTTAATGTGATCAGTAATATCATTCTATTTAAATATACCTTCTTGCTCTCTGTTTTCTATTTGTGCCATATGTTCATTGTCGTCCTTTCTCTGTCTTGGTGTTTGACTGTTTTTAAAAAAGTTTTCTTTTCTGTCTCCTTGTTGGCTTAAGTGATGGTAAAATTTAAGTGTCAGATTGACTAGGATGTGGTGTTGGGTTGATTTTGTCCAATACCAGCATAGAGCTTGCTGTGGAGATATTGTTCAGATGTGACTCATATTTAACTTGGTAGACCTTGTGTAGCAGATTACTCATCACAATGTGATTGGCCTCGTTAATGAGTAGATCGTGTTTGGAGCAAACTGAGGATTCCTGAAGTCCTGCCTTGCTGAATACAGGCTCAGACCACAACATCCACTCTTACCTGAATTTCCAGCCTCCAGCCTGTCCATGTGATTTCATCCGTGTCATACATGACAATCCTATGAGCCAATTTCTTAATATAAGTTTCTCTCTCCATATAGACATACATGCATAAGCATAAAAACATATGAACATTATACACACACATATCCTTTTGATTTTGTTTCTATGGAGAATCCTAATATAGCTTATTAGTTATAATTCTTTTTTGTTCAAAGAGTTTTGTTTTAATGGCTTTTTTAGTGTTTATATTATATACAGAACTTATGAAAATCTACCTGCAAGTGTTACACATTTCTATATAGTATATGACCTTGATGACATATTCTTCACCCACCTCAGATTTTGTGATCCCTTTGTCATATAATTTACTTTTATTTTCATTATAAATCACAATGTATTTTATTAATTCATTTTTGAAGAGTGAATTGTATTTTATAGACATTAACACAAGACAGAGGTTTCCATAAGTATCCATGTAGTTATCATATATGATGTGTTTTTTAATTTTAATTTTTCTATAGAGTCAGTCTTTTTTGTTTGTTTGTTTGTTTGAGACAGAGTTTCGCTCTTGTTACCCAGGCTGGAGTGCAATGGCGTGATCTCAGCTCGCCGCAACCTCCGCCTCCTGGGTTCAAGCAATTCTCCTGCCTCAGCCTCCCGAGCTGGGATTGCAGGCAGGCACCACCATGCCCAGCTAATTTTTGTATTTTTAGTAGAGACGGGGTTTCACCATGTTGACCAGGATGGTCTCGATCTCTTGACCTCGTGATCCACCCGCCTCGGTCTCCCAAAGTGCTGGGATTACAGGCTTGAGCCACTGCATCCGGCCTAGAGTCAGAGTCTTAATATGTCACCCAGGCTGGGGTGCAGCAGTGCATTCATAGCTCAAACTCCTGACCTCAAGTGATTCTCCTATCTCAGTCTCCCAAAGTGCTGAAATTACAGGCATGAGCCACTGGGCCTGACCTGATCTTTTTACTGATTTGTGGAAATTCACATTTCAGCGTGATCACTTTCCCTCTGTCTGGAGAAATCCTTTACCATTCTAATAGCAAGAGTCTGATGGTGACCAGTTCCATAGGTTTTTAAATGTCAGAAAAATGTTTTTTGTCCAACAATTTTGAAAGTTATTGCGCGAAGGGGGCCCTGAGGAAAACTGAATCTTAAAGTGGGCAAAATTTGGTTAAATATTTCACTAAGGAAGATACACAGATAATAAGCACCTGGAAAGTTGCTCAGCATGATGCCGCTAAGAAAGAAAATACAAGTTAAAAACACGACGAGAATCACTACAGATCTATTAGAATGACTTTAAATAGAAACTGACAATAATTTCAAGTGCTAATGAGGATTCACACAACTACAGTTCTCATACATTATGGAGACGTGTCAAGATTCACGTTCCTCCTCAGTCAGATTCCCATGATGGGACGCAGGGTGCAGTGGCATTCAGGCAAATGTGGTCATCCCAACCTGACGCCTCTCTCAGGGTCCTTTTCCTGCCTGGGCTGTTCTGGCCTCTCCCCACAGCCTGGTGTAGAGGAAACAGAATGATGAGTTTTCCTCGATCATGGCCTGCATCTGCCTCTGCTTAGAGTTGTCCTGAGGGAGGATATGTGGGGTGATGAGATTTGCAAGGGGCAGAGTCATCATTCTCAGGGCTCTAGAGAGGGGCATGGGGCTTCTCACTCTGAGTCCATGAGGAGAAGGAGGAGATGGGAAGTTTTGGCCTCACTTCCCCTTTGTCTGTGTCACTGTGGCTTACCCGTACTGGCCGTCAATGGTGTGGCCCTCTCCACAGTAATACTCGGCCTCATCCTCAGACCGGAGGTTGGAGATGGTGAGGTAGCGGTCAGCTCCAGAGCTGGAACCCGAGAAGCGATCGGGGATCCCGTCCCCCTTGCTGTGGCTGCCATCACTGTTAACCTTCATTATATACTGGGGGGACCTCCCTGGTCTCTGTTGATACCAGTAAATAAAGTAGTTGCTGTGCTCACTGCTCAGGGTGCAGGTGAGCTTGACCGAGGCTCCCAGTGAGGCAGATGCCGACGGGGGCTGAGTCAGCACAGGCAGAGCACAGAGACCTGGAAACATAGAATTTCATGAACGATGCTGAATGCACAGGAGAACTGGAAAAGGTGCTCATGAGGAGTGGTGCTCATGGGAAAATAGCTGTGAAAGGGTTTCCCTGGATTCCCTGGGATGTTCTGACCTGTGGAGAAAATGAAAGGCAGGAGGCAGAAAGAGACCCAGGCCATGGTTGGAGAGACTTCCAGCAGTTCTGTGTGAGGCTGCCCAGTGGAACCTGGACACAAGGGCCTCCTGTCTTATCCTGTTCTTGAAGCTCAAGAAGGGAGGAGCTATGAATGCAAATCTGCTTTCCACTTCCCAGCATGTCTATCTGAGATACTGTCTGAGCCCTGAGTCTGAGGACTTCACGTTGGCAGTTTCTCAAGGTCAGAAGGGCCAGGTGGGTGTCATGAGTGGAGCATGAATTTTACCCGATAGAAGGGGCCTCAAAGGACGCATCAGTCATGCCCTTTGCACTTGACCCCTACTGGGGAAGTCATTTGGGTCCTCAAAACAAGGCACACAGTGCCCTCTAGTGCACACAAGAGGAATGTCGTCCTCATGTGTCACTAGATAAAGCAGAATGACTCCTTTGAGACATTAATATGTGGCAGGCCCTTTGGAGAGTGTTTTACAGGCACCACCTCAACCACACATTCACAGTAGCCCCACAGCAAGCATACACTTAAGACACAGCCTCTCCTTCAGTTTCTTCATGGGAGAATCAACATCAGGAGGTTACATGATTTATCAAATTTTCCCAGAGTAGCGATTGGAGTCAGGATTTCATCCATCCTCAGAGCCTGACCTTCCAGCTCCTCCCTGCCCCGCCTCCTACCCTATGCCCCATCTTCTTCTCCTCCATCCTCCAGGACCCTGGACCCACCTGTCACGGCTCTACATTTTTTAATCAGATGCAATGTCCTTTGAGTCCTTTGGACAAAGGTGTAGATGCTCTGTCTGCTCCCTTTATGGCAAGTGACAAAGGAGCATGTGTTAGCAGTGACCTCAGGGACAGCCAGATGTCTGGTCATGCTCCTCCTCAAGCCAGGCTCCTCTCCAGACAAGTTAGGATCGGAATACCATTTCTAACAAGGTGGAGGCCACTAAATTTGGACAACTGTCACATTAGATACTGAAACATTTTAACCTTAATGATGTAAGTGGCAGAATAGATCCTTCCTGATATCTTAGATACATGTATTGCTTTTCCAACCTAGAACTGCTGAGAATGTGATGAAATGAATTCGTGAACAAAACACTGGCCCATTAGAAATGGAAATAATGTGTGAAGCCCCAAGGTGTCCATGGGTGCAGACAAGTGTCCAAACATTGCACCTTGGAGTTTGGTGTAAAGAGATAATGACGTAAGATGAGGCCACATGACACCAATATGCCTGCTCCTGTACTTGGCTGGGCGTATCACTGCAGCTCCCCCATGCACTTCCCAACCAGTGCTTCCACTCCTCCTGTCACATGACACCTCAAAGTCTCCGCATTGGTCCCTGATGACCACTCAGGCAGGTCAGTTCTGACACCCTTGCTTGCGGGTCCTGATACAGCATTGGATGTAATTTGCTAAGACCACTCTGGGAAAATGCACCATCATAAAAATGATCAATGCTTGTGAGTCAGGCAAAAATAGCCCTTTGTGAAGATAGCAACACATTCAGCTTCAATACTATATTCCTCATGATGAGCCCCCTTTCATCCAGATCTCTGTATAAATAATAACTTCCTACCTTTAGTTGGTTTTATGGTAAGGATCTTTCCACTGAAAGGGATCCTTGGAGCACAGTTCACAGGGACCATTGCCATTCATTCCACTGACCAGTAGAAAAACATGACTTTAATGGCTCAGATTTATCTTCAAGCTGGAAGTTATAGTCAATGTCTTTGAGAAGAGAAGAAGTGTGAAACACATTGTAAAAATCCCCTTGTTTCTGAGAGCCCCCGTGTTTCTACTGTGGTTGGAAAACAGGACATCCATTCTTCTTTAGGGAGGCCCTCTGGGACTCTCCATTGCCCCAAGATGGTTCTAAGTATGTACCACAGAGGCTGTGATCCAAATGGACCATCATTCATCTGGATCTGCTCTGTCCACTGTAGCGGCCATGAGTCCCAGGGAGCTGCCGAGTTTTTGAAATGTGGGTAGTTCAAGTTAAGATGTGATGTGGGTGTAAAAAGCACCAGATTTCAAAAAGTTTGTATGAAAATAACATAAAATATCTCAGTATTTTTATGTTGATTACATATTGAAATAATATTTGGATAATGTCACTTAAAACATAATATGAAAGTTTATTCCACCTGTTTTTTTACTTTTTATAATGTGGCTACTGAAAATTTTTTAAATCATTGAAATTATAGTTCTAGAAAAACCCTCAACACCAGAGTATTCCTACTGCACTGCAGATCACTGCAAATATGAGTTACTTGATTTTGAAAAGTACAGAGAACTTTCTGGACTCTTAAGGAGATGTCAATGCTTTCCCTTAAAGCACAGCAACAGGCCACAGCGTGGTGTTAAGGAACAGGATCTCTAGGGCTGGAAGATCTCAGGTTCTGCTCCCGGGTCAGCCACCTTCTAGTTCTGACATCAGGCAAGCTGCTCTTCCTTTCTTTGCCTCGGCTTTTCCATGTCTCAAAATCTATATCATAGATTCTCCAACTGGAAGTGGAGAGAGAATGACGATATTTGGCTCATGGAGTGGTTGATGTTGAGCGATTTAGTAAATATGAATTGTTTTGAAGAGTGCTTGGTATGTATGAAACACACATGAATGAGTAATCAAACACATTATTCCTCCTCCTACTATTTCTACCCCAATCATTGTCCTTATTCTTATGACAGTACGAAGGTAGTAAAGATAGAAGAAGGAGATAATTTAGGAAAACAGGAAAGTTTTGAGTTTGGGACACTTGACACTGACAAGCCATTCTTGCACCATTGAATGCACAGGGACACGTATGTACACACATACACAGGCATGCACAATCAGCACAGCTCACACCGGGCACAAACTGCACAACCTCCCAGCCCACTGTCCTGTTTAGTGGCCTTTCTGTTCCAGGGACCTGGACTGGTTCTCAGAGACATCACCAGGATGTGTCCCAGTAGGACTAGCAGCAAAATCCCTTTGTGTGTCCAGGTGCTCTGATGCATGTTACTCCCCCAGTTACATTACTCTAGAGCTGGCCTTGCTTGTGACTTTCTGGTTCTGTGAGGAGGCCACCAGTTTTGCAGAAACTGTCAAGATGATCTGCACAATGTTGGCAATCAGCTTGTGATCTGTGACCGTTCACAGTAGGTAGCATAGAGGCCTGAATGGGGACTGCTGGTCAATAGGGCAGTGCTGGTGTCACTGAGGAGAAGAGACCCCAGGGGCAGACTTCACATTGAAGCAGTTTCTGAGACATGGGAAAAGCAGGGTTGCTCTCAGCTCCTAGAACTGGATTTTAAGTCACCAAAGTCTTTCTTATCACTAACCTTTTCAAACTCTGAACTGCAGTTTCTCCATCTGAGGTCCGATTTCCACGAACGACATCAGCAAGCATTGCTGCCAGCTCATGAGCAGCTAAGGTGTGTCAGGTTTGTGTAGAACACTCTATAAATGTGATCATTAAACTGCAGCACTTTTAGGAAAGAAGCTGCTTTCTGTTTCCCATTGATTTCTGCACACACCGGCTCCTCTTCACCTTCTGTCAGGAGAGGAAGCGGCTCAAGGTCTTCCCTGGATGCAGATGCTCACTGTCGAACTTTGCAGATGTCAGAAGCATGGCCCAAATAAACCTTTTCTTCTTCACAAATTACCCAGATTCAGATATTCCGTTTTAGCAAAAGGGACTGAGGCATGTTAGTGGAGGAGAACTAGGTCACTTATGCTTCTCAGAAGGTGCGTTTTGTAGGTGAGTTTCAGCTGTGCTGAGTGAGGAGGGTGCACAGGAACTAAACCACCTGAAGTGTGTTCCTTGAAGGACCAGCATCAGTCAACTTACTGGAAGGCTATTAGCCATGGAGAATCTGGGGCCACACTAAAACCTGCAGAGGCTGCGTTTGCAGTGTAACCAGACCCTATGCGGTTTCTGTGTACCCATTGACATTTCCGATGCTCTGGTCTCAGCCACAATGGAAAATCTCACTTCCTCTGCTTTTGACAACATGGTCTTGTCTCCCTGATGTGCTCCCTAGGCCACCTGGGCTTGCTGGTTAACAACCCTGTCCTCATTTAACTGAGCTTGATTCAGGTGCTACACCCTGTTACACAAGAAATGTTTTAGGAACAGACGTTTTTACAGTCCACATGTGTGATATGTCAGGAGGAGGCAGTTTCTCAGTGTGTTGTCCAAAGAGAAACAGATGGCTCATGTCATTTGCCTTGTTTCCATTCAGTTCCAGTTAGCCTGGACTTTGTTGATTTCTCAGACATATTATTACCATCTTCCATGTTCAAGCATCTTTGAGATTTTCTTTTGAAGTGAAGCTTTTTCTGTGTGTGACTCACCTCCTCGTCCAATACCTGCCTAAATCCTACTTATCTTTCAGATGCCTGTGCTTATTACTTGCCAAGGAAGCGGGCTCTGACGCAAAATGACGACTTTTAGCATTTATTGCTAAGTATCGTCATGATTGGATATGAGATATTAGTTTGCGTGAAGTGACACCCCATCCAATGGCACCATGAATCGTACCTTTTATGAGGCTTTAACAAGAATGGGAAAACAACAGGAAATAATGTCTGCTTACATGAAAACATTCGACGTGACTAGTGAAATCATCATGTGGTTTTTATCTTTTATTTTATTAATATGGGGCATTGCAATAATGAATTTCCATAAGTGAAGAATCCCTTGAATTTTGGGGATGAATACTAGTTAGCCATGGAGTTTAATCCCCTTAATATTTTGCTAGTATTTTGTTGCAGTGTGGTTGTTTTGCAGCTAGGTTCATAGAGGCTACGGGGCTACAGTTGACTTTTCATGTTTCTCTTTTGTTTTTATTGTCAGCACACTCTGGTCTCATAGAATGAGCTGCTCGTGTTCCCCTTTCTTGTATTTTTGGAAGAGTTTATGAATAATTATTATTAATTCCTTGAACAGTTCATAAAATTCATCAATGAAACCCTCCATGCCTGGGCTTTCTTTGTGAGAGGGTTCAATTACTAATTTAAACTCTTATTATAGTACTAATCAGGCTTTCCCTACCTCCTTGAACCAGCTTAGTTGTTTTTGTTTTTATGTTTTTAGAAATTTTTCCTTTTCATCTAACTTTTGGCATGTGGTTTTTCACAGTGTTCTCACATAACATTTTATTTTTCAGTATCAGTGTTCAGAGGATATCATTTGTTTGTTTATTCCTTCCATATCTCATGCTGAAACGTGACCTCCACTGTAGGTAATTTCTAGAAATAAAAATTTCATTTCACGCAGCAATCCCATTACTAGGGATATACCCAAAGGATTATAAATTGTTCTGTTATAAGGACACATGCACATGTATGTTCATCACGGCACTGCTTACAATAGCAAAGACTTAGAGCCAACCCAAATGCCCATCAATGCTAGACTAGACAAACAAAATGTGGCACATATGCACCATGGAATACTACGCTGCCATAAAAAATGATGAGTTCATGTCCTTTGTAGGGACATGGATGAATCTGGAAACCATCATTCTCAGCAAACTGACACAAGAACAGAAAATCAAACATCGAATGTTCTAACTCACAGGCAGGTGTTGAACAATGAGAACACGTGGACACAGGGAGGGGAGCATTACACACTGGGGTCTGTTGGGAGGGTTAGGGGAGAGACAGCAGGGGTGAGGAGAGTGGGGAGGGATAACATGGGGAGAAATGCCAGGTATAGGCGATGGGGGGATGGAGGCAGCAAACCACCTTGCCATGTATGTACCTATGCAACAATCACACATGATCTGCACATGTAACCCAGAACCTAGAGTTCAATTTTTAAAAAAAGTAAACTTCCACTTTATTTGCTAAGATTGAAAGAGATGAGTGAGTCAGCATCAGCAATGTTTGTGAGTTAGATGTGGGAGAGGTCTCAACTGTGCATTCTTGTAATAATTTAAAGTAATGATTCACATGCCCAAAAAATTATATTTACTAATCAGTATCCATTGAGTATCTCTGGTAGTGTTTGGAAGAGCCATAATTAACACAGAAAATAAACTAAAAGTATCAAATGTTGAATTTTTTTTTCAGAATGGAATATGTCTGTCTTAATAAGATAGACAAAAATGGTACAGTCCAAAGAAAATCACTGTGTTGTATGTATATTAAACTATTAAGCTCTGAGATTCATTCATTTTTTGAAGGGTTTTTTGTGTCTTTATCTCCTTCAGTTCTGCTCTGATCTTAGTCATTTCTTGTCTTCTAGCCTTTGAATTTGTTTGCTCTTGCTTTTCTGGTTCTTTTAATTGTGAAGTTAGAGTGTCAATTTTAGATCTTTCCTGCTTTCTCTTTCGGACATTTAGTGCTATAAATTTCCCTCTACATTCTGCTTTAAATGCGTCCCAGAGATTCTGGTACATTGGGTCTTTGTTTCCATTGGTTTCAAAGAACATCTTTATTTCTGCCTTCATTTCATTATTTACCTAGTAGTCATTCAGGAGCAGGATGTTCGGTTTCCATGTAGTAGTGCGGTTTTGAATGAGTTTCTTAATCCTGAGTTGTAATTTGATTGCATTGTGGGCTGTGAGACTAGCTGTTATGACTTCCATTCTTTTGCATTTGCTGAGGAGTGTTTTACTTCCAATTATGTGGTCAATGTTAGAATAAGTGTGATAAGGTGCTGAGAACAATGTGTATTCTGTTGATTTGGGGTGGAGAGTTCTGTTGATGTCTATTAGGTCTTCTTGGCCCATGAATACAATTTGGCTTTGTGAAATAAATTTTAGCGTGTATATTTCAGGTATACAACATGATGTTATAGGATACACACATAGTAAAACAATTACTTTGTTTTTAATACAATCTATTTAATTGAAGTTTAAGAAGCATAAGCTATATATGCTAATAGCTATATTTAACATACAAATATAAGAATAAATATTGACCCCAGCTCTTGTCTATTTCCTACATTAATTATCGCTATTAGTAGATTAATAGCGGGTTGAGTTGCAAAAGCATTGACACCTATGGAAACTAGAAATTCTTGAAATAAATGAAGAAAGAGGGTGGACTCAGGTTAACCCTTCCCTGTGTAACCATTTTGGAAACTCCCACTCTATGGGGGGAGGTGGAGCTTCCTACAACATGTCACTCCACAGTCCCTATTACCTGAAGGGGCTTGTGGGGGTTTGCCAGGACAGGGGCTCAGTGATGTGAGGGGAGGGTTTATTCTGAGAGAACACTGAGCTTGTCACTCAAAATCTCCCCAGCCTGAGGTACTGGGGCAAAGTGAAAGGGCAGTAAAAAACCAACAAATAAATAAGCAAAAACCTCAGATTCCTCTTTCTTCTTAATCCTGCAGACACATCTTCAGATTTTCTGGCAGTGCTCACTGCTTCAGGACAGAGTTGCAGAGAATAACCCAGCCAGGAGGGCCATCTTCACTAGAGTGTGGTGGACACAAAGTTGAGTAAGATGTGGTTTTTGGAAACTCCCCTGATAACGTCTGTACAGATTGGTCTGCACAGAGTGGGAGATTCGGATGCATTTAGGATGAGGATGTTCCTGAAAACAGCAGGGACTGCCAATCAGGCAGCTCATTGTCACTGTCCCAGCATTTAAAGAGCTAGGAAGAGTAGCACTTTCAGAGAGCACAGCACACAAGCAAAAGGAAGCTGTCTCTGTCCTGGTTGAGAAGCCACAGAGCAAGTTCAGTTTTGGATTTCATGAGGGGAAAGGAGAGGGGCTGAGAGAGGGGAACTCTCAAGGCAGCGATGCAAGAAGCCCTTGCACAGGGCGAGGAAGCATCTTCAGAGCAAGGAGCGAGCCTCAGAGCCCAGGGCAGGTTTTGGTCTCAGTTCCCCATGAACCTGGGCCACTGTGGAAATTGTCGCTGCCTGCATATGAGCTGCAGTAATAATCAGCCTCGTCCTCAGCCTGGAGCCCAGAGATGGTCAGGGAGGCCGTGTTGCCAGACTTGGAGCCAGAGAAGCGATTAGAGACCCCTGAGGGCCGTTTGCTGACATCATAAATCATGGGTTTGGGGGCTTTGCCTGGGTGCTGCTGGTACCAGGAGACATAGTTATAACCCCCAACATCACTGCTGGTTCCAGTGCAGGAGATGGTGACCGACTGTCCAGGAGATCCGGACACTGAGGGAGGCTGAGTCAGGGCAGACTGAGCCCAGGACCCTGGAAAGAGGAAGAAACACACTCTGGTGAGTCAGTGCTGGGCGCAGGTGAGCCTGAAGAGCAACAGACCAAGGATCAGCCCAGAGGTCCCTGAGTCCCCTTCCCTGGAGGTATCACCTGTGCCGTGACTGAGGAGGGTGAGGAGGAGCAGAGTCCGGGCCATGGTGAAGACTTCCTGAGAGCGCTGCCTCCTGAGACCCCAGAACTGGGCCTGACCACAGCCTGTCTCATCTCTTTTGCCTCAGAGCGGGGCGGGGCCACCATGCAAATCTGCGTCCTGAGCTCCCCTCCTCACCCCACCTTTCCTGGGCCTGGGCTCAGAGGCTTCTCCTTCCCTGAACATCAAGACTCAGCTGAGGGGATTAAAACTCCCAGACATGGATTTCCTGAGACTGAGCCTCTGACAGTGCCTGGGAAATGGGGCCGGGCTTGGGGGTCCCTCTCCTTGGCCTGGGTTTCATGGTGATCCCAGCTGCGGAGTCCCAGAACTTCCCTTCCCTTCTGTGTGGGTTCAGTGTGAGGACAGGGCCCAGAGCGTCTGGGAGAGACCCCAGCGCTCCCCTTCCCAGGGACCACGGGCCCCTCAGGGCCTCCTCACTTCCCCTCAGCCCTTCTAGGGCTCTTCGTTTCAGCTGGGCCCTCACACCTTGCTCTGCCCTCTGTGTCTGCAGTGGCCTGAAGCTGCGGCTTGAATAAACATGGGGTTCATTTATTAGCCCTTCTAGAAATACATTTATGTGGGCATGACAGATTTAAGACCCCAGACTACCTCTGTCTCTTTAGGGGGACTCAGGAGGAAAGAACTCCTGGGACCCCACACCCAGGGTGAAGCCCAGCAGGGACCTCCCAGGTGCAGGTCCGCGGCGTCCCCTGGTGGCCACAGAGGGAGGAGCCTGAGGCCCAAGAGCCTTCCCTGAGTCACAGCTGACAGCTCCTGCCCTGCCCCTCCTGCGTGCGGTTCCCTTCCCAGCTCAATCCCAGGCCCCTGGGCCCTTCTCATCCCTTCCACACTCCCTCCCTCAGAGTGTCCCACACCAGGGCTGCAGAGAAAGCATGTGGTGTGGGGAGGTGATTTGAGACTATTGTTTAGGGGTTTTTATTTGAGACTCTTGTTTCAGCTGCGTCCTTTATATATCTCTGTGCTCTTTTGTTTTAGACATTAGTTGAGATAATATTGTGTACAATTTGAGATAACACTAAAATTACAATAGGTCAATGACTTCAGAAATTTATGAAGTTGATTGTGGAGCCGGTAGCCTGGATCCTTTTTTCTCGGGATTCTGTGGAGAGGCCCGCTGGGAATTACTGCAGGAGTCCAGGCACTTCCAGCAGGAAGCAATCTTTGATTTTTAAGAGGAGATACCTTGTCCTCTGTTCCATGTTGTCTTAGCACCAGGAGCAAAGCAAGGCCCCACCATTGCTCCAGAAGTCTCCAATCTCATTTAAACTGCATGGATGTGCCCCACACAGAGATGAGTGATCCTGGCTGAGGAATTCTGGCTCAAAGCATGTGACAACCAAATGTGAGGATGGGAATATTGAGGAAATGGCCTAGCAACAAATTCAACAGCTGCAGTAGATGTTTCTGGACAGCTGGGGAAGTGATACCTTGGACCAGACAAAAGATCATTGTTAATTGCACACACACACACACACACACACACACACACACACACAGAGGGGGGCAGAGGGGGGCGGGAGAGAGAGAGAGAGAGAGAGAGAGAGAGAGAAGGAGACAGAGAAATACAACACAAGGTTTTATTGCTACGCATGGGGAGAGGGGAAATCTTCCTTCATACAATATTCCTTCAAATCTGCTAGTGGCGTATTTCTTTTTCTTTTCAGCCTGCTCAACAGATTTCGTCCCTGTCAGTCACCGCCATTGTATGAACCAGTTTCTTAAGATAAGTTTCTGTCTTTCTGTCTCTCTCACCATAACTATACAGTACACATATATATATTCATATCCATATGTATCCTATTAATTTTTGGTGGACAATTCTAATATAGCTTACTAGCCATAATTCTTTTTGTTAAGAGGATTTTATTTTAATGGTTGCTTTAGGGTATATAGTAAATAGGTAACTTACCAAAATTCACCTTCAGGTGCTATACGATATTCACATATAAGACCATTATTACATGTTCTTCACCCACCTTTTCTTTTCTTCTTTGCCATGTAATTTGCTTTTATTTTGATTATAAATCACAATATATTCTTATTAATTTTTCCTTGAACAGTTAGTTCTCTTGATAGACATTACATAATACAGAGGTTTCTAACAGATACAGGTAGTCATTGTGTCTGATTTTTCATTTCTTTGTGTCAAACCACATCTCAATATGGGATCGTTTTCTTTCTGTCTAGGAGTTTCATTTATCATATCTAATATCAAGAGTCTATTGGTGATCAATTCTGCAGGTTTTCACGTCTGAAAGGGCTTATTTTGCCTCTGGTTTTGAAAGATGTTTCTGGTGGATAAAGGGAAAATGTGGCACATATACACCAGGGAATACTATGCAGCCATAAAAAACGATGAGTTCGTGTCCTTTGTAGGGACATAGATGAACCTGGAAACCATCATTCTCAGACACAAGAACAGAAAATCAGGCACCACATGTTCTCACTCATAGGCGGGTGTTGAACAATAAGAACAGATGGACACAGGGAGGGGAGCATCACACACTGGGGTCTGTTGGGGGGAAACAGGGGAAGGACGGCGGGAGCTGGGGAGTTGGGGAGGGATAACATGGGGAGAAATGCCAGATATAGGTGATGAGGAGGAAGGCAGCAAACCACGTTGCCATGTATGCACCTATGCAACAATCCTGCATGTTCTTCACATGTACCCCCAAACTTAAAACGCAATAAAATATATATTTTTAAAAAATAAAAATAAAATGCACTTATTTTATAAGACAAAAAATCAGTCAATCAATCAATAATTTATCAGTTCCAGGTCTCTAAAGGACATTTTCAAATGTAGACATGGAAATGGTCAGAGACTTTTTAAGAGGCATCTCCCACGTCCACATCCTGTTGTAATTGTTTCTTCCAGCTGCTTTCCTTTGCCTGCAAGAGGGGCTTGGATAAGATGGATGTTTTCTTAACTTCTATGATATCCTCAACTTGCCGTAGCTCTTTATTTTTCTTCAATCTGTTCATTATAAATTTAGCTTGGTGTTTCTGTTCAAGCTCTTCAACTCTCTTCATGGCATCAATATTTTATTCCATAGCTTTCACTGGCATTTGGTGGGTTCATTTCTATGTTTTTCAAATTCAAATGAATTATCCACTGGAAGCTCTTTACCAGCTGCGTCTGGACTACTTTGGTCCACCTGAACTTGCAAGGATTGTGCTTTTTTTTTTTTTTTAAGTTTTTATGGCATTTAGATTGACCAAATCTGAACACTTTGTAATTGTTGCGGATGAACATCATGCCGTGGTCAGGGTAGATCCTCAACAGAAATAATACCTCTTGATATGCATGTTAAACCCACGTAGGTCCCCACTGGCCCAGACTTATTTTTGGAGACAGAGAATAGCAACCTGCTGTTCATGTCTCTTTCTGCCATGTGTGTTGCTGGCGAGAAAAAATGTTCCTAATTGATCCTGGAAATATTTATCACAAGGAAATTGGCTAAAAATCATCGTCTTAGAGAAAGAAGCATGAAGTTTTAGCTACCCTGCAGATAATTAATGACAAATGTAGACAGAAAGCGTCAGGGAGGCTGCTGTGTACTCAGAGGGGGGCACCACCCTGAAGAGGTGTTTCTGGAGCTGCTGTCAGGGGGGAATGAAGAAACAGTGATGAGAAGTGTTAGGAAGAAGAGTTCTGTCATCTACCTGCAGGGAGCGGGGAAGGTTTGGAGGATCTGAATGAGCAGTGACAGATACCAGGGCATCTAGGAGCTGAAGCAGTTCCAGTCCCCTGTGATACCTTCAGCAGAATAGGGAATTTGGGGGTAGGAATGCAATGTACTAAGGTGTGGTGAGGGGGGTTCCCAGGTGATGAATGGGGTGATCTTGCAGCTGCTTAGCACAGCTTGTGGCCTCCAGGATGCAGCTGCTGGAGCAAGGACAGGAGAGATGCAGCAAAGAACAGCTACCGGCTCAAGTCACTCAGGATGGGGTCACTAATCCCGTTCTCCCCCTCCCTCTTATTCCACCAGCAGGCAAGTGAGGACACCCAGAGCTGAAATGGAGACCCCTGTTGAAGATTTCGCATGATGACCAATATCTGATTTCCACAATGTCTCAAGGACTACCTGATCTGGTTGGAACCCAGAGATGGGGAGAGCACTGGACAGAGAAGGGAAGGGGCAGAGAGGGTGAGTGACGTTCCCAAGGCCACCGGGTAAGGAGGAGAGCCGAGCAGCACGAGGGGGCCTAGCACAGACATAAGGACCCTTTCTGAGTGCACAGGAACAAGCAGGCTGGGTGGGGAGTGGTGGGGACAACCCTGCATCACATTTTGGGGCTCAGAAGGACACGGCTCTTCCTTCTCGGATCTGTAAGCTGACTGTGGGGGACGCTGCTGCACCGAGACATGGGTGAGCCAGGCAGCTGGGAGTGGCTACAAACTTCCCGCACCCTTCGGTGCTCATAGAAACCCACGGATAAAATGCTCCGCGGTAGAAACAACCAGAGAAGGCTTTTAAAAATATCTTTTTTACCTGTAAGAGCCCTTGAAATACTGCCTGAGTCCTCTGTATAAAAAATAGTCTCTGGACTGCTCATGGTCCTTCAGTGCCGTCACGAAGTTGTAGATATAAGAACTCAATCATGAGGGCCAACTTTTAAGAATCACACATTTTTTAAATTGTATGAAATCCATATGAGATAAAATCTACCATTGTAAAGTATACATCTAAGTGGCATTCAGTACCTTCACTTTGTTGTGCAACCGCCAGCTCTTCATCTAGTTCTACATTCTCACCACCCCCCAAAAATTGTGTGCCATAAAAAAAATTCCTCTTTAGTTCTCACCCTTTTCAGCTCCAGGTAGCCATTGATCTTTCTTTCTGTGTGAATTTTCCTATTCTAGATAATCACATAAATAACATCATATAACATAAGCCCTTTTGTGTAGTAAATATTTTACGTTTTGCAGACCGTAGGATCTCTGTCACCACAATGGAGCCTTGAATTGTCACGTGAAAAGTCCACAGGACATTCACAAAGGCACGTGCAGGACTGTGGTG